TCGAAATAGATGAAAGTGGAAAAGTGATGAAAGACATAACAGACAGCATGGTCAAACTAGCTCATGTTCCGGTACAAACCTGGAATGGATTTAATTTCGAAGACATGTTTTCAGGATGGTGGCCAAAGTTACCAGGCCTACAAACCATCATAGTTATAGCAATATTATTAATTCTAGGATGTATTTTGATTCCCTGCTTTCCCGTGTCAACTAGCATCGGGACAGTCTGTCCTCCCACCCGTATTTTAACAATGGGCTCTGGGGGTGGGACCATAGAACCCTGTTCCCTTCAGTCTCCCCATTCCATGTCAATACACTTCTATTCACTATTAATACACTTCTATTCACTATTAACAAGCCCGGCCTCTCCACGTGGACTAACTTAGTACACTTACTAAGAAATCTCTTATAATTCAAGCATTCATATTCAGCTATCTCATTGAGAGCAGGACTTTCGGTCTTCTAATACAGCGGCCCCAACCTTTTGGGCACCAGGGACTGGTTCCATGGAGAAAGGTTTTTCCGCGGACCAGAGCGGGTGTGGTTTCGCATGCTGCCTCTATCCCGCAGATGGGGCTTTGCTTGTTTGGCAGACCCATTGCTGGCATGCCGCGGACCAGTGCCGATCCATGGACCAGGGTTTAAACATATAAGAAACGGTTGCTGGAATTGGGAATGTCTAGTTTAATGAAGAGAAGGATTAAGGGGTAACATGATAGCAGTCTTCCAATATCTCAGGGGCTGCCACAAAGAAGAGGGAGTCAAGCTATTCTCCAAAGCACCTGAAGGCAGGACAAGAAGCAACGGATGGAAACTAACCAAGGAGAGAAGCAACCTGGAACTAAGGAGAAACTTCCTGACAGTTAGAACAATTAACCAGTGGAACAATCTGCCTCCAGAAGCTGTGAATGCTCCAACACTGGAAGTTTTTAAGAAGAGACTGGACAGTCATTTGTCTAAAATGGTATAGGGTTTCCTGCCTGAGTAGGGGGTTGGATTAGATGACCTCCAAGGTCCCTTCCAACTTTATTCATCTTCATATTATTATTGCCTTTCTGGCTCTGTGGACCAGTGGTGGAGGGGGGGGGAAGAGGGGATAGTTTCACATGCGTGTCCACCGCTTGCACAAATGGAGCTTTGCACGCTCACCTGTCGCTTGCATGGCCTGGTTCCCAATGGGCCGCAGACCAGTATCAGGCTGCGGACCGGGGAATGGGGAACCCTGTTCTAGAAATGTTTGCAATTCTCCCTTAAATCTGCACTACGACACCCAGCTTTGACTCCTATTCTTTGTTCTGAAAATGCTGGAATTTTGCTTTGCTGATCTCGCACGCACCCATCTTGCTTTTCCGTTTCCTTCCGTTTTCCAATCTTCTGGACAGCGGCCTTTGGCGTGGCTTTTTATTCGCGGGCAGGTCTCCCTCCGGCTGGTGTTTTTGAGCTTTCACGTTGAGCATGGCAACATTCAGCATCTGAAGAGAACGGGGCATGGTTTTCATCTTCTGCCTAATGGGCGTCCGGGGAGCCCCGCCTGCTCGGGTGGAAAAAAAAAAACGGGATGTGAAGATACACATATGGCTGGAAAAGATGACTAAAAGACAGATAGAATTTAAACCAGAACTGTTTTTTGTTAGGAATATTAGGAGCTAATTATGAGAAGGAGAAGGAGTATTTAATATTGCATGTGCTGACAGCAGCGAGAATAGTATTTGCCCAATACTGGAAAAATGAAAACTTACCAATTGAAGAGATTTTAATTAAGAAAATCTTAAGAATGTGCAGAAATGGACAGATTAACTTTAGAGATCAAAGAGAAAGAAGAGTCAGTTTATTTTAAACTGGCGTAGTTTTGATTGGGCTTTGCTAGGGGTTTTATATGGGGTATTTTAGAGCAGGCTTTTTATTGAATATTTATTGTGATTTTTATTATTGCCTGTTCACCGCCCTGAGTCCCGTAAGGGAGATAGGGCGGTATATAAATTTAAATAATAAATACATACATAAATAAATAAAATTTTAGAAGATGGAATAATTTTTACCAATGGTTAGGAAAACGAACTAGTGAGAAATAGATGTGATATGTTATTTTGGATATATATTAGTAAGAAGAACGATATGTATTGACCAACTGATACTGTTTATGATTATCGTTTATCATATTTACTACAGCTACTTACCATTATATTAATTAGCGTTAACTGAACATATGTACCTGGACAATAGTCTGCTTGCTAAAGCTTGAAAATGTTATTGGGGGGTAACCCCAATGTTGTCCCCAATCCCACCCTAATCCCAATCTTAACCCTATCCTGAACCTTAATCCCTATCCTATCCCATGCCTAACCTTATGAAACTCAATAAAAACCTTTATAACTGGACAAAAATGGGATGTAAATCTGGTTCATTGGAGCCCAACAGGTCAGTAGCATCACGGACCACACAACGTGCAACTCCTTATCAGGAACGATGTGATCTTTACAGGTAATCCTCGTCTTACAACTATTTGTTTAGTGACTGTTCTAGGTTACAGCAGCATTGGGGGAAAAAATGACACGCTACCGTTCCTCACACTTATGACTGTGGCAGTATCCCATTGCTGGTGCTTGGCGATTGGGGTGTATTTACAACGGTTGCAACATCCCACGGTCATGTGATCGCCATTTGTCACCTTCCCAGCTGGCTTCCGACAAGCAAAGTCAATGGGGGGAGCCAGGTTTGCTTAATGACCGCCTGATTCACTTAACAACTGCAGTGAATTACTTAACAACCATGGCAATAAAAAAGTCGTAAAATTGGGTGTAAAATTCATTTAACAACCGCTTTGCTTAGCGATGGAAATTCTGTTCTTAATGGTGCTCATAAATCAAGGACTACCCATATTTAAGTAAGGGTGATGTATTCTTTTGTGCTTTCCTCTGCATGATTATAAATACATATATATATACACACACACAAATTGCATACATCTCTTTTTCTGATCTCGGGGGTGAGATGAAACTGTACGATCAGAATTTTTTTTCTGGTAAAATTCTGCTAGGGACCGTCTCAGCTCCACTTCTGATTTTGGGGTGTCCTCTTCATTTTGAGGACAACTTGCTTGCAGCATCCTGTATAGAGAGGGGGGGAAAAAAAACCCCAAGGAAATGGATAAATGCCCAAAAGTAATGGCCCTTTCCCACTGTGTCCAACAAATAGTTAAGATTCTTTTTCCCTGAATTATTCCGCTCAGAAATGAATCTGCAAAAATCTCACGGCTATTTCTGATGAGCATCTGTAAAAGTTGCACATTCAAGTCATGTCCAGATGTGGTTTTGTCCAGATGCATTTTTTTTTTTAAATAGAGACATACAGCACGTCTTTACTGAGCACAAATGCTTACCCTTTGGAAGAATCTGTGGAAGCAAATTTATTCTAATTTAATTGCATTATAACAGCACTAGCAACTGTGGAATATTTGGTGTCCAGCTTTGCTCTCCTCTAAACCAAGATACTTAAAATTAAGCCCCAAAAAAAAAGAAAAAAAAGGAGGAATTACCTGAATGGTTCCATCAAGTATGAGCTTGCACCACAAAGGTTTGACACACTGTACCAATCTTCAAGCACGTCAGGATTCCAGCTTTGAGCACCTGGGAGCTCTTGCTGGGCCCATCCTGGACACAAACTCTCTGTTTAACACGTATAGATGAAACATTAAAAAAAGAGAGAGAAATACTACATTATTAGTGGGCTTGGACCTTCCCTAGTTGTGAAAGAAGCTGCGTTAACCCTTACACATGTCTAGACAGAAACTATTTTAGGCAACCATGAGCAAGAAACACTTTTAGATATTATAGGTGAGCTTAGAATGAAATTGATAAATCTCTTTCTCCAACCTAGCTGTATCGGATCTCTTGAATGGGTTAGGAAATCAGGGGGTCTGGGGGGAAACAGGCACCGTCAAAATCCTAGCAACATGGAGTTCCTGTGGATTTGGGGATCTGTCACAATGTAGAGTAGACGCTTTTTATGTTTTGCTCTGCATATCGTGATGTCTACAACCATCATTTACAACAAAGTCCTGATGTTCACCGAGTGTCAAATGTCCTCCTCAGTCTCCCTCGCAGAGACTATGAATTTAAACCCTCCACAGGACCATTGGGGGCTAGTTCACCTTCTACTAAATGGATATTTTGCCACTGGCCATGCCGACCATGGCAGGCAGCCACCCACCACAGGGGCTCAAAATTCCAAACAGATCATTGGCTAAGAAAATCTGCCTGTATTGGGACACTGCAAAAGGGTCCTTTCCAGACCAAATACCGGAAGGGCTTCTTGGAACATCTGAAAACCAAAGTGATAAAAAAAGATCAGGCTTACCAGGACCTGCTTGGTGGTGGTCTTCATCAGAGTCCTCTATGACCTGACTTAGCACGCTGCTCACGACTTCTGGCAGACAGAAGTCCAGCTCCTTGGAAATGTTCTCTGCCACAGGGGCTTGAAGGAGGCACCTCTCGGCTTCCGCAACTTGTTCAGCAGAGAGGAGAGAAAGAAGCGTGGCGGTGCCAGAGATGGGGGAGAGAACCCCGGTACAAGGAGAATGAGCTCCCGATAAAAATGTCACTTCAGCAACCTTACCAAGAGAAGAGAAACATGCAAACAATGAGGGGGTACACAAACCCTTCCTGAGAAACGAAAAGATGCTTTGAAGGAGGGACTTTGTATTGACTGTCCTTTTAGCAAAGCATCCTTTGAAAGTGATAAGCTGCTCTGTTGCTTCACGTCTGGTGTCCTATAAAGCTACTGAGCTGTTGGACAAGGCCCCAGAAGGCACATAAGGCACTTCCATGAGGTGAATTATGCTACTGACTCAGCAAATATTTCATTTCCATGGAGCAAAGTTGTTTTGTACAGGCTTGAAGGCTGACATGTTTTTCCCCAGCTGCATTAACAGAGGGATAGAATCAAGATCACGTGAAGTGTTAGTACCACTTTACAAGGCCTTGGTAAGGCCACACTTGGAATACTGCATCCAGTTTTGGTCACCACGGTGTAAAAAAGATGTTGAGACTCTAGAAAGAGTGCAGAAAAGAGCAACAAAGATGATTAGGGGACTGGAGGCTAAAACATAAGGAAAGGCTGCTGGAATTGGGAATGTCTAGTTTAATGAAGAGAAGGACGAGGGGGGACACGATAGCAGTGTTCTAATATCTCAGGGTTGCCACAAAGAAGAGGGAGTCAAGCTATTCTCCAAAGCGCCCGAAGGCAGGACAAGAAGCAACGGGTGGAAACTAATCAAGGAGAGAAGCAACCTAGAACTAAGGAGAAACTTCCTGACAGTTAGAACAATTAACCAGTGGAACAACCTGCCTCCAGAAGAGGTGGATGCTCCAACACTGGAAGTTTTTAAGAAGAGACTGGACAGCCATTTGTCTGAAATGGTATAGGGTTTCCTGCCTGAGCAGGGGGTTGGACTAGAAGACCTCTAAGGTCCCTTCCATCATCATCATCATCATCATCATCATCATCATCATCATCATCTTCTTCTTCTTCTTCTTCTTCTTCTTCTTCTTCTTCTTCTTCTTCTTCTTCTTCTTCTTCTTCTTCTTCTTCTTCTTCTTCTTCTTCTTCTTCTTCTTCTTCTTATTATTATTATTATTATTATTATTATTATTATTATTATTATTATTATGTCACAATGGTTTCCTTCTTCCTTAAAAAGTACAGGTTGTTGGCAGCCTTTGGAGATCTGGGAGCTGCCTCTAAATCTTTCAGCAGCTTGCGTAACCCTTAGGTTTCAAGAACGGTGAAACGTCCATTTCCCCCACCACCATCCCTTCAGACCCTATCATTCCCCCCTCCCCAGCCCAAAACTAATCTCAACTGTCACTAACTGTCCTTCCATCTCCCACACCATCCAATACAACTGATGGAAGCTTCCAGCATAGGAAGCGAAGCGTCTTCTTCTTCTTCTTCTTCCACAAAATAATCAGCCCAGTTGCCTTTTTCAAAAATAAAAACCACTGTTGATACGTCTGATGTCGCACCCTGTTAAAATAAAGCCCAGTGCACGTTTACTCAGAGTAAACAAGCTCTTGGAAAATCTATCTACTGGACATTCCTCCAAGTTCCTATCGGACATTTTGGTTGTCAACGAAACGTAATCAACACCACCATGCTTATCAATTACTTATAATTAGATTTGCTTCGCAGAATGAAAAGAGAGACTTACCATATGAAGTCCTTGAGACAGAACATATTTTACAAACTGCTGGAACAAAGAAATCTCTTGGGCCGAAGGTCCTGACGGCTTACTCTGGAGTGTCCAGCTCTCTGTGTGAAGATTTTTAATGTACACTGACTTCCAGTCTGCCATAGTGCATTTAAGTTGTATGAGGACTGTTCCTTCAAAGCGCCTCTGGTTCAGAGTCAGAGGCTCCAGCACCACGGGGCAACTCCAGGCTTCTTCTTTTCCTGTCCATTGATAAGATCAAAAAGGTTGTACTTTATCAAGCAAGCAAACTCTCTTTCCTTAATTTCTGTATGCAGTAATGAATAAAACGAATAAAGAATAAAAGCTGAGAAAAATGCTAGCATGGCATGAATACAAAGTGCCTTATAACAAGGGTTTTGTTTGACCGGCTTAAAAAAAAAACACTATAGGATAAAATTGCAGGTAGTCCTCGACTTACGATCGCAGCTGAGCCCAAAATTTCTGTCGTTAAGTGACACATCTGTTGAGTTTTGCCCCATTTTATGACCTTTCTTGCCTCGGCTAAATGAACCATTGCAGTTTATAAATGAGTAGCCTGGCCGTTAAGCGAATCTGGCTTCCCCGTTGACTTTCTTTGTGAGGTCACAAAAGGGGACGCAACAACCGTCATAAATATGAGCCAGTTGCCAAGTATCAGAATTTGGATCGCAAATTCATAAGTCATAAGTCACTTTTTTCAGTGCCGTTGCAACTTTGAACTAAGTGAGCCGTTTTAAGTCGAGGACTACCTGAAAAACCCTCTTTTCCACAGTAGTTTCACGGCTCACAAACCGTAAATACTATTTTCACTACCGTCAGCCTTGAGGAGCAGGACTCCGTCCAGCGTTGGGAAGGATGTTTGTAAAGAGGAACGCGAGGAAAATAAGCAGCTCAGAGATGAATCCAAAGGCAGCATTTTAGTCCATGGCGTGAACGATGGCTCAGAAGATGAAGGCTCCAAGGGAGACGCTGGGAGGATCCTTTCCTTCTGATGATCTAAGTGCCGAGTTAAGACCTCAGACGACAAAACGGTGCCTCCCAGGATGCACATGACTTCAAGCAACATAAGGTAGCCTGTGTGATCAGAGGGTTCAAGCTGAAAGGAGACAAATCAGAGATGAGCGGAATAAGGCTAATCGTAATGGATAGAACAGCCACAACATGCAAGACTGGGTTAAAATGGGCTTGTGCAATTGGTAGTTCAGCAGGTCGTGGGAACCTATCCGCCTGCTTACTGTGACATTTGAACCAGACCGTTACATTAAGCTGCAATATGGTTTATTAACTTGAGCACTGCCCGTTACATGAACCCGCCCAGTCATTTCAACACGAGAAGGGCAGCAAATAAATAAATCCAGAAATCAAAACAATGCTGAATTTGATCAATCAGTCATAAGATCCAGTAGATGAGCCCGGAACCATTTGCTCTATTACAGTTTTGTATCTCAAGTAGTACAAAATAAAACAGTAACCAAAGTACGTATGATTTTTGAAGGAAGGAAAACTAATGCAGCCACCTAACAAACAGAACAACAATCTGAGTTTGTTTGTTTTTTTACCTTGGACCATTCAGCGGTGTCCATCCAATACAGAGTGACCTTATGATTGACTATCATGTCCTGGATTCCCTTAGGGAGGAATTTTTCTGCCAGGTCATGCAAAGGAGGCAGGTCTTCCAGTAAAGAAGCATAGTTTCCAGAAATAAACTGCAAGAGTTCCCTCTGGGAATGAGGGCAGGGAGATAAGAGGAAAATGGCATTAGCAAAGCCCGCATGAGTGGACTGCACTGGAGGGTTATCCGCAATCACAGTTAATTTGTTTTTCTGACTTCTCAGCACCGGTTTGGCAGGAGAGACTATTTCAGGCCGATCCCACTGATAGTCAAGCAGCGTTTCTTTCAGAATGTTCCGAGTGACGGTGGATCGTGGGGTTGGGCCCGGTGAGCAGGGAGTGCAGAGCTGCTTCCCAAACCTGGCCGCCAGCTCCTCCTCGAAGTCTTCCCAGCTGCGGGAGCCAAGCTCCCGGAAGCTGCCTACACGCGAAGCCCGGCCACGGATTCCCATGGAGTCAAAGAATTTGAAATCCCATCGGACCTTAGCGAGACCAAACTTGCAAGCCAAGAAGTTCAAGATCCTCAAGGTGCCCAAGTGAAGGCGAGCCTTCTCTGTGGAATCCGCGGTGTCCAAGAGGAAGACCACGTTGTGGGAGCAGGTCATGGTGAGGCTTCAGCCGCCGGGATCCTGGAGACTCACAAGCGCGAGGCGAGGGCATCCACACGAACCGAGGTCTGACGGAGGAGCCCCCGCTTACGTTAGCATCCTGATCCAATCCAAACCTGCTAAAGAGGAGAACTAGATCCCTGGGATCTACAGTCACTGGGTCTGGCCTTCCAAACAAGCATGCTCACAGCAGGGCTCGGAAACCGAGGAACGTAGGTCTTTGCTGGCATTTACAAGCACGTGGCAGTGCCGTCCATCTCCAAAGCGTACTCTTCTCAAAGAAGTGATACCTTCTCCCCATTTGCAGAAAAGCAAGCCCCTTTACTCCTGCCGCTGGACCCCTGTGCAAATGAGGGTGCAACCTGGAAGGTCTACCACGGAGGGCTACCCCCTGCTCTGCTCCCAGCTGCCCTTCTGGCCCCTCCCAGTAGCCCTGGAAATTACCCCTCCCCCCCTGTTACCTTGATAATTATCCTTGCCCCCCCCACTGCCCTGGTAACTACTCTCCTACCTTGATGACTACTCTCCTGCCCCTTGTTGCCTTGTTAACTACCCCACCTTGAACACTACTTTTCTGCCCCTCTCCCCAATTGCCTTAGTAACTATCCTCCTGTTCCCCAGTTGCCTTGCTAACTACCCCCCCAGCCGTCTTACCTTGATGCCTTCCTTCTTCCCTCCCTCCTTTTCCAATTCTTTCTCCTTCCTTCCTCCCTCCCTCCCTTTTCCAATTCTTTCTCCTTCCTTTCTCCCTCCTTTTCCAATTCTTTCTTCTTTCCTTCCTTCCTCCCTCCCTTTTCCAATTTTCTTCCTTCCTCCTTTTCCAATTCTTTCTCTTTCCTTCCTTCCTCCCTTTTTCAATTTTCTTCCTTCCTCCTTTTCCAATTCTTTCTCTTTCCTTCCTTCCTCCCTTTTTCAATTCTTTCTCCCTTCTTTCCTCCCTCCTTTTCCAATTCTTTCTCCTTCCTTCCTTCCTCCTTTTCCAATTCTTTCTTCTTTCCTTTCTTCCTCCCTCCGTTTTCCAATTCTTTCTCCTTCCTTCCTTCCTTCCTTCCTCCCTTTTTCAATTTTCTTCCTTCCTCCTTTTCCAATTCTTTCTCTTTCCTTCCTTCCTTCCTCCCTTTTTCAATTTTCTTCCTTCCTCCTTTTCCAATTCTTTCTCCTTCCTTCCTTCTTTTCCAACTCTTTCTTCCTCCCTCCCTCCCTCCTTTTCTAACTTTCTTCCTTCCTCCCTCCTTTTCCAATTCTTTCTCCTTCCTTCCTTCTTTTCCAACTCTTTCTTCCTTCCTTCCTCCCTCCCTCCTTTTCTAACTCTTTCTTCCTTCCTCCCTCCTTTTCCAATTCCTTCCTTCCTTCCTTCCTTCCTTCCCAAGACTTTCAAGAGCTGAACAAGGGACGAGAGGGGGTTAACAGCTATTCTCACGAATCCCTGGCCCCCGGAGGCTCTCCGAACCGCTAATCCTCCTCGGGCAGCCCTCCCAGCGAAGAGAAGCAGCCCCCTACTCCGAGGGAGACCCTCCAACTGCCGCCATTACGCCCGGAGTCGCCCCGATCCATCCAACTGCTGGCGCCTTTCGCGCTCTGCTTTCCCATTGGCTTGGGAGAGGAAGCCTGGCGCGCTCCTCATTGGCTGAGCGCCGCCCCTCCCTGCTCGATAGGTGGACTCCTCCTCTGACCCTTCCGATTGGCTACTGAGGTTGGCGCAGCCGCCTTCGCAGGCGGAAGAACGAACTCGACGCTCGGGGTTTGTTTTTTTTTTCTTTCTTTCTTAAAGGAGCCGCGGCCGCTCCATACAAAAATAAAAATAAAAAAATAAAATAAAAAAACAACAACAAGGCTCTACTGTATTTCAGTGTTTTCTTTCTTAAAGGAGCCGCGGCCGCTCCATACAAAAATAAAAATAAAAAAATAAAATAAAAAACAACAACAAGGCTCTACTGTATTTCAGTGTTTTTCAAACTGACGCCTAGATACTTCAGCTCCAAGAATCCTCCAGCCAGCCTTGCACAATTTGCACGGCGCTGATTGGTAGCTTGGGTATGCTGTGTCCACCCAGCATCCTTTATATGTCATACATCATCAATATAGGATTCAGTGTGTTGTGCAAACGCAAAGCAGGAGCTAAGAGAGGGGAAGGCCGCACCCATCTTAAGGCTGCCAAGTGGGAAAACAAATGGTGTTGAGTGTGAATCCTGCCCCTTTCGAGATCTGTGCCTCTGCAAAGGGGACGATGGGTCGCTCTAACCCTTTTCTAGCTCTACGTTCTCTCCTCCCTCAACTTCTCTTCCTGCTTCTCCCTCATTGGTTGAGAGCTCTGGAATGCAAGCCGCTGATTGGACGACAGGCAGCCTGGCTTTGATTTTTAAATCTTTAAAGGTCGTGCACGCCTGCCTTCAGGTCCAAGGAAGTTGCGATAAGCTTGACTGGTTTTAACCTTGGAAGGGAGGCAGGCGCTGCTTTGTGGTTTAGTGTGTTGTGTCAACCCAGCATATTTGTTACTACCTGGGTCAGTGTATTGTGCAAACATTAAAAAAAATGGGTCAAAAGAGAGAGAGAGAGCCAGCATGGTATAGAGGTTAAGGGTTGTGCAAGGACTCCAGAGGGATCAAATCCATTCTCAGCTATGGAAGATCAGTGGGTGACTTTGGGCTTGCCCAGTCTACATCACGGGGGGGGGGGGGGAAATAGGAGGAAGGAGTGATTAGCTGAGTTGCCTACAATATACAGGTATTCATAGGAATAGTCAAATAGTATTTATCTGTGTGTGTGTGTGTGTGTGATATATTTCAGTCAGTTAGTTTACATCAGTGGTTCTCAACCTTTTTAATGCCGCAACCCCAACCGGTCGTAAGTCGAGGACTAAACCGGTCGTAAGTCGAGGACTAAACCGATCGTAAGTCGAGGACTAAACCGGTCGTAAGTCGAGGACTACCCAACTGGTCGTAAGTCGAGGACTTTCCCTTCCCGGGAGCGCCGCGCATGCGTGGTTCTGCCCCCTGCGCCGGCCGAGGCGTAGCTGGCAAGCGGCAGAGACGGAGCAGGCCGACCACCAGCTGGCCCAGCTCAAGGGAGATAAGGCACCTGCCGGAAAAGGGGGGAAAAAATGGCGGACAGCCTTGCTTGGTGACCCCCATGAAATGGTCGATCGACCCCAAATGGGGTCCCGACCCACAGGTTGAGAACCAGTGGTTTACATCCTACTTTTTTGTCCAGGACTTGAAGGCGGATTATTACTGTGCTTGGTTGAGTTATCATATCTTGGACAAAAATCCACACTACCAGTTGGGGGCAGCAAAGAGTGTGTTTTCTATTTCTTTATTGCCCTCTCGGGAGTCTTAGACCCAATTTTTGAAGGCTAATTTCTCCTTGGGATTTTGGCAGAATGCCAGCATAATGACATTTATAATTCATATAAAATCAATAGAATTTATCAGTGCTTTTTTTCTATATAAAAAAAAAAAAGGTGCCGGAACTCACACATGTCATACAACCCGCCTTGCCTACCCTACAAGGTTCCATCCAAAAAAGGTGCCGGAACTCCGTTCTGGGCGTTCTATGACAAGAAAGCCCTGGAATTAATATTTATAATATTAAACAGATATTCCTCCTACAAGTCAGTGCTCTCCTGGTTTTTTTGCCTAAATTTTGTCCATAATAAAAATCTGCTTGGACCAGTGGGATTGATGTAATTCTTATTTTATGTCCACTAGATAGCACCATTGGCTTACTCATAAAGCTATGAGATTGATGCTTTATTAAGACTAGAATCTTTGCATAACAGGCAGTGGAAGAGTACATTTCCAAGACTAAGCTCCAATGAATACAGTAAACCTTGGAATAAAATTAAGAATAATATTGGTGTTATTGAATGGAGCTGAGACCTTTAATTTTTATTTAATTTTATTTTTTTAAAAAAACCTATGATACATGCTCTAATTAAAAAAAACTGGAAATATACATGCTCGGCATCACAAGAAAAGATAGAAAGACCCACACATGGATTAGAGAACAAACAAAAGTATACCATAGCATCAACAGAAAGCAGGACAAGAAGCAACGGATGGAAACTAATCAAGGAGAGAAGCAACCTAGAACTAAGGAGAAACTTCCTGAGAAGTTAGAACAATTAACCAGTGGAACAACCTGCTTCCAGAAGTGGTGAATGCTCCAACACTGGATGTTTTTAAGAAGAAACTGGACAGCCATTTGTCCGAAATGGTATAGGGTTACCTGCCTGAGCAGGGGGTTGGACTAGATGACCTCCAAGGTCCCTTCTTATTCTGTTCTGTTCTCCAAAGCCCCTGAAGGCAGGACAAGAAGCAACGGATGGAAACTAACCAAGGAGAGAAGCAACCTAGAACTAAGGAGAAACTTCCTGAGAAGTTAGAACAATTAACCAGTGGAACAACCTGCCTCCAGAAGCGGTGAATGCTCCAACACTGGAAGTTTTTAAGAAGAAACTGGACAGCCATTTGTCCGAAATGGTATAGGGTTTCCTGCCTGAGCAGGGGGTTGGACTTGATGACCTCCAAGGTCCCTTCCAACTTTTATTATTATTATTATTATTATTATTATTATTATTATTATTATTATTATTATTATTATTATTATTATTATTATTATTATTATTATTACTATTATTATTATTATAGTAAAAGAATTGAAATGGAAATGGGCTGGTCACATAGCAAGAAGAACTGAGGGCAGGTGGACCAAGGCAGTCATAGGATACTACTTGATCAAAAGCATCGAAGAAAGAGACTTAAAACAAGATGGACCGACGACATCAGCAATTATGGCGGGCCCAATTGGCAAAAGGAAGGTCAGGACCGTATAGGTTGGAAACATGCAGAAGACAATGGCCAGAATGATGATGATGGTGAAAAAATAACTATAAAAACATTCAGCAATAGTGTCTAAATAATACAATTAAATTAAGAGCACCCAACCCAGTGGTTTTGCAATGTCAATTGATTCAGATGAGATTTTGGTTTCGGTCT